CTTCTGCATTAGCCTGGCTTGCTCCTCTGCACCGTTCCCCCTCTGACCCTCCTAAGGCAGGCAGAGCTGCCACTGAATCCAAGCCTAATATGGATAATTGTAGGACGAGAAAACAACTTCTGCTTTAGTGAGGAATATCTACATCTGCAGCAAGTGCATTAAATACACGTTGTACTGTGTCTACACTCATGCTGTTTTTCCATTGCTGCAAATTTTGGTGAAGTTTGGTCTGCACCAGTCAGTACAAAAGTTATTCCTCACGTTGCTACTTGAAAAAATAGGCAGACAGGTCCTCAGAAACTTGGTCAGGCAGCAAGTGTTCTCTCATGTGCTTGTGCCCAGCATCCGCAGTAGCAATGTCAGTGCGAAATATTGGGGTGTTCCAGGGGACACAGCACTGGTGGTTGTGTTGGCAGGGAGGAGGGAGGAGGCACTTCTCCCAGCATAATTTACATGGGGATGCTGCTCCATTTGTTTTAGCACATCTGGCAGTGCAGGTGTGGCTGAAAGAGGGTTGTGGGGTTGTTTTTTGTGTCTTTCCATATGGTTAATTGCTTTTGCGTAGCTTCGAACCCTTACTTTTATGGACATCTGCCTGCTCTGTTTCACCACCTGTGTGCTATTCTTTCCTACGGCCTTGGGTAAGCATTTGGGTTATTTATTTGAAATTAAAATGGCTCACAACAAACCTCCTCCTGAAAAAAATCTGTATAGATTGAGAGAATGCCTGAGCCTGAAAAAAAGATGGTTATGGTCCTTCCTTTTATTTTTTAATTTTTTTAATTTTTTTGTCAGATAGACTCAAACATCACATGAGGAATAATGCCGTGTGTCAGTAGTCACTGCAGCCTTCTCCCACAGATCTGAAAGCAATTTCCAGTCCATTAAGCTCTGCCCTTTGTGGTGCCCAGGAAGTTGCCACTGATCTGCCCCTGCGTGGCTTATTAAATTAGGACTATTGAACCAGGTTCTGCTGGCAGCTATTCTCTGTTGACTCTGGACTAATCCCAAACCTACGGCTAAAGTTAGTGTTAGGAACTAAAAATGGGTCCTTTGGGATTCCAGTTGTACCCTGTAGGCTGCGTTAAAGGTTCAGAGTTCTCTAGAAGGATGGCTGCACAGGGCAAATGTCCTGCAGGACAGCTTCTCGGGAGGATGGCTCACTGCTGCCTGAAATTCCTTGCACGGTGAACCATATGAGCAGGGGATTAACCTCAGTTAAAATTACAGAAGCTCTGCTTTCTCTCAATATTTCTGCTCACTGGGTTTTTTGGAGAGTTACATTTTATTCCAGATCTCCCAATTTCTTACGGGAAGTGGAACCCATTTCCTTCGCCCACTTGGGAATCCAAAGATGAGGGGAGCATGGGCAGCAGCAAGGATCCAGGGGGTTCAGGAACACTTCTTCTGCACTTAGGGCTGTCCCAGTCCCTGTACCCAAATGGAGGGGATGAAATCCCAGGGGCAGGGCTTGCCCTGAGGGATGGATGTGCTGCAGAGCTGCCCTGCATGTATGCACATGGGGAAGCACAGTGCAGGGGTTGCTGCTGCTCCTGTGGGTCTGAAAAGGGGAAGGAAAGCAGCTCTATAACAGGCCAGCACCCAATTTCCCACTGAAACTGGTGCATGAATTCAGGCTGGCTCAGGCAGGGCCTTTACAGCTGTATTTACTTGTAATTAAGCCAACTGCAGGCAGTGGTGGTGACTCCCAGGGGTAAGCAGCAACAGCGGGGAATTTGCTCTGCCCTGGGGTGCTACTCACAGGGTAGTTTTTAAAGTAAAGAGGAACTAGACCCTCGGTCTAAGCAACCCCTTGGGAGCCAGAGCCTTGCAGTGCTTTGCATCGTTTAACAGGGCAACTTGTCCATAAAGCATTTGGGAAAAGCCAAACCTGGTAAAGCAGCTGGTGGATGGGGCTGGTGCAGCCCCTGCCCACCTCACCCATAGGGAAGGGGCCTCCTGAACCAAGCATGGTGCAGTTTTTCCCTTGAAAACACTTCAGGACTGGTCCTAGTTTTGCACTTGAAAGCATCCTATGTCTAAGACACAGGGGACCCTGACTCATCCAGAGCCTTTGGATGGTACCAGGGGCTGTACAAACGCTTGCCATGACTCCATCCCAAACCTTCCAGTCTTTGAAGTCCTGTTTTTTTAGATTAACTGGTAATAAAGGGAGAGCAGCCCTGTTGGGTGATGCAGATTATTGAAAACAATGTGAAAACAGATGTCCTCTATCTCGCTCTGTCCTGTGGGGCAGAGCCTGGCCTCCAGCCCCGATTCCAAAGCCAGGGCTTTGTGGTAGCCTCTTGGTCTGCAAGAGGCAAGTCCCCTGAATCCCCAGAAAACCTCTGGCTGTCTTCTAGCAGGGTACAGCTGTGTTAGAGACCCTGTTAGTCCCCCATGTGCTGCCAGCCTGCCCTGTTCCCCACTGCCTGAATCTCCCCAGGGGCTCCTGCAGCACGGGCAAGGCAAACAGGCACGGATCTGTGCTGCTTATTCACACACATATATAAAACATATATATATGTTTTACCAAGTCACACCCTGCACACAAAAAGTCCCACAAATACACACCCCCATGCAGCAGACTTCATGGAGCCTGGCTTGGGATCTGCCTGGGCACGAGTGGCATCAAGGTCACCCCAAAGCTTTTCCCATGCTTAAACAGACTCATGTGCTCAAAGGCATAGCTTATTGGAGAAATTTGGCACCAAAGTTATTTCTGATAAAAGAAGTTCATTTCTTATTTAACATCACATTAAATAAACTGCCAAGCACAACAGTGAGGATTTAGTAGTTGCAGTGCTAAACATATTACTTAGCATTTATATAGTGCTTTCTTCACTCAGGAAAGCACTTTTGCTAACTTAATTCATTCTCAGCCACCCTCTGCATGTCATGAGAGAAGTCAGAAAGATTTAATATCCCCATGACAAATGAGGCATGTGGCTGGTACTGGCACAGCTCCGTTACTTTTCCTCTTCTTCCATCCCTAACACCCTTCCCACGAGTTGATTTTTGGTGGCTGAGGACCACACTCGTGTTGGAAGTCCTCAGTAGAGCAAGGGGCATGGTCGTGCCCTTCTGGTGAGAGCCAGCTATGGTCCCGGCTGGGCAGCCAGGAGACTGGTGGCAAGCCAAAAACAAGTCCCAGCTGACCAGAAGGATTTAGATCAGGACAAAGGTTGATGGAGGATTCTGGCACAGAAAGGGTTGCTTTGAACTGTATCACTTGGTGGGGGGATTTAAGAAAGGACATGATAAAGGGATTGGGGAAGGGGATGGTAGGTCTGGCACAGGGACACAGAGGAGGTGTCCACGGAGGTGAGCATCTCAGGGTGTGAGGGGCAGCACTGGGAACTTGAGCCTGGGAGATGCAGGGGGGCATTTCCATGGCAGGAGACCACTGCTGGCCCCACGCCCCACTGCCTTCCCAGTAGGACACATCTGTTCTCACTGCTCTGACCCTTCCTCGCTTTTGCTGTGCGAGATATGGCATCCCCAGAGCTACCCAAAGAGTGCCTTTCAGCTCTGCATAATCCCCATGTAATCACAGAAGGGAAAACAAAGCCAGCTTCAAAACTCAAGCTTGAAATTGTCCTATAATCGGGAGCAGTTTGGAAGCAAGGTCACGAGAGGAAAAGAGCCTCAGGGGCCCTGCCTCTGTTCCAAAGGGGTTGTGGAGGTGGGTGAGGAGAGCCAGAGGCTCTCTGTGCACCCTGTGTGGGCCATCAATTCTCCTTGTACCCATGGTTCTACTGGAGAGGACATCCATGGCCAGTGGACATGTATCCCTTCTACAGAGCCCAGGGGTGAGCCAGGTGCCAGCTGAGAGTACAGAGCCCTCCCTGCATCTCTGTTCCTCTCCTCTTGCTGCTGGGGAGGGATGCCACAGCCCCATCATGTGCCCAAGGGTCCCAAGGACCTTTGTGGAGGTCTCAGGCACGATCTGCCCAGGTCATGCTGTATTTCACCTGGACAAGGGGCTGCTTGGCATAACAGGGGACAAGTAAGGACAGCCTCCTTAGTCCTCTTATCATCTGGAATCCTACATTTAATGTACATAAATGCATCTATGTGCTGGGTCTCCTCTTTAAGCTGGTGCAACTCCTAGTTTCAATGCATTTCTCCTGTAGAGAGCCCACCCATTTGTTGCACTCATTACTCAAGCCCAATGAAGGCACATGTGGAAACTGCTTGCTTTTGGAATGGGTAGTAGTAATGCACCGGTGTTGATTAATATGCTGATTAATATGGCAGTGATTAGTTAGTGCAATTACCTCTGTAAAGTAACATTCACAGAACCATACAGTTATTGTAGGGGTGGGACATGCTGAGTTATGTGTTTTTTTTTTTTGTTTTTGTTTTTGTTTTTTTTTTAAATAACCTAGTAATATGCTCATTTGGACAGATATTTTTAGCATAAATCAGCTGTAGATGATACTACTTTTACTGAAACTATCTCTACACTTACTTTCAAAGAGCTAAACTTTCTTATTTAGAAGTACCTCAGCTTAACTCCCCTATAAACTTCTCTTGCTTTAATAGTGAAGTGAAAATATTACAAATTAACTTACAGTTTTGAAACTTACCTGAGTATAAGGCCTTCCTGAGAGATCTTTGCAACCAGAAATTATGATGTTGTAATTAAGCTAGAACAAATATTTATTTCTTTTCCTTCTTAAAGTACATGGGTTCTGGTTTACATCATTGAAAAAAAAAAAAAAAAAAAAAGCTTCAGGTACTGTTTAAAATAACTTTCTTTTTCTAGAAATAGGAACACATCCAAAAAGTCAACCCTAAGGTACATTTTACAAAAATGAAACGATGCATTTCCTGTTTTATTCTGCACATGGTATATGCTCATGCTTTCAATATCTCTAGGCTGAAACTGCTTGTAACATTTTGCTGTAAAACTGAATCTATTACGGGTGAGAGATTGCTTTAATTTCTTAGGGAATGGATTTCCTAGCTGCAAAGGCATTGAACACAGCCTGGAAGACACGCTCGGTGTGATGTTCTTTATTGTTATAGGTACAGAGTTCTGGTTTGGCAATGCTGCACATTCAGATCATTGAATATTTACCGGCCAGGAAGGACTTTTCAGTCTCTAAAATGGTTACAAATGGTTTTTGTCAGAATGCATTCATCATAAAGCAGCCTGATTCCAATGGAGCCCTACTATTTTATTTGGGGTAATAACAGCAAAGTCTTACCAACTGCTGATGGAGGTACCAGGGGTTAATTTGCGTTCACGTTGGAAAAGCAAAGCAGTGCTCCCTCCCAACTCTGACAGATCCCTCGCGTCCTTTCCGTAGCTGATCGTCAGGTTGTCCCCGTCCAGAGCTTAGCGCTGACAACAGCTCACAGTTTATTTGCAGCTTTGAAGCCTGGTCCTATAGTGTTTGTCTTCTGACAGGAGATGAATAAAGGTGTCACTGTGGGAGACTTTTAGCCGGCTGCTATAAAAGGGACCCTCCTTGCCCTCCCTCACAAGACCCTCAAATTCGCTTTTGGAGCTTGCGGCTTTCCCCTCGGCCGAGTTTAGCTCCATCAGCTCCAACTCGTGCTTGGCAGCTGTTTCTAAAACCCTCTGTTTGTTGTAATACCTGACAAAGTTGTTAATGATGGGGTGGATGGGAAGGGCAATGGCTATCACCCCACAAAGAAAACTGATGGCAGCATTCAGTTTCCCTAGTGTTGTTTTAGGGTATATGTCTCCGTATCCAACCGTGGTCATGGTAATGATTGCCCACCAAAATGACTGAGGGATGCTTTTAAATAAGGTTTCGGGATGACTTTGCTCCATGGTATAACCCAGGGCAGAAAAGACAAAGATCCCGACAGCCAAGTACATGAGGAGCAGTCCTAGCTCCTTAAAGCTGCGTTTCAGAGCATAGGTCAGGGTCTGGAGCCCCGAGGAGTGCCGTGCAAGCTTGAAAATCCTCGCGATCCTCATGATGCGCAGCGCCTGGACAGCCTGCTGGACGTTGCTCAGCTCCATCAGCTTGGCTCCCAGGTGGGTCAAGGTGAGGCTGACATAGAAAGGGAGTATTGCCAGCACATCGACTATGTTCATGAAGGACAGAGCGAAGTGGAGTTTATTTGGCGAGGCGATGAGCCTCAGCACGTACTCCATGGTAAACCAGCCTATACAGGCTGTCTCTATGCTGTCCAGGGTCGGGTGCTCCACGCGATTCCCCTCTGCATCTGTGACCTGCATGTCTGGGATGGTCCCCACGCACATCACGACGGAGGAGATCAAAATAAACAGAAAGGACAGAACAGCAATCACTCGAGCCGGGTAGGACGACTCTGGCTTCTCCAAGAATTTCCAGATGTATTTTTGACATCTTTTCCAGCGACTTTCGGAGGCATCTACTCCCAAGTCATCCAGAATCAGTTGCACTCTTCGGGCTATTTCCTCCAGTTCCTCCTTTTTTTCACTCAGATGGGTTTTGCAGCAGTCATCCAAAAATTTCAGATCCACTTTCCAAAACTCCATCTCGTTCTTGAAGCAGATGGGGCATATTCCTTTCTTCATGTGAATTTCCCCAAAGTAGTACACGTCGATAATGCATTTGAAAGCATCTGGATCTCTGTCAAAGTAAAACTCCCTCTTTCCGGGATCGTAGTCATCGCAGAGGGAGAATATGCTGTCGTATCCCCCCGATAAGCAGTTGATCAGCTCTGCCAGCCGCGTTTCTGGGTACTGATTCAGGTTATCTCCGTAGAACACCTGCCTCACCCCACCGACATTGACTACAATCTCCGTCTCTTCATTCCTTTCTGAGACGTCAGTGTCCACATCTGGAAACCGAGAGTCACCTGCCATTTTAATTGTATTGGATTTTTATCTTATTTTTAGCCCGCTGTTTGGTTTCAAAGCTTTGTGGGTTTAATTTCTCATGAAAGCAGATCGGCACCAGGTCAGCTCTGTTGCAAACGTTACCAGGCTGACCTGGAGTCGTGGTGGGAAAGGCTAGAGAAACAAACCTGCTGTCACGAAAGCCTGGTGAGGTATGCAACAAGCTGCGGTGAAAAGACAAGTCATCGGGCTGCCGTGCCTGAAAGCAGGAGGTTAGAAAGCTCCAGCAGATTTGAAAGAGAAGAAACCATTCAGCAAAACTCACCCCTCTGCTCAGTGCTCGAGAGTCTTTTCAGGTCCCATTCTCTCTCTAAAGTGCTATTTATTCACAGGTTGGAAGTCACGGCCGAGAAATAAATCCTGTGCTCTGATTAATGCAAAGTGACTGACAGTTCTCGGGGAGACCATCGGCGGGGTGAGCCCACAGAAAACTGTTGCTGTTTCCCTCTTCGGAGCCACAGGCTTCCCTAGAAAGCTGCTTTTTAATTGGGTTCCCTCTTTCCGCTCTCTTTTTACTTTAAGGTCTTCCAGAGTTTGTCTGCTGACTCTCGCACCCAGCCGGCGCAAGTGTGCAGAGGAGAAACTTGGGCTTGTTTTCCCGTTGCTGTTTCCCAACACAATAGGGCTGCGAGCTCCTTTCCCAACCCTACCCTCTTCTGGCCAAACCCAGCAAAGCACCAGCTGCACACAAAGCACAGCCCGGCTATTTATACGCCTGCCCGGCTGTAAAACGAGGTGCTTCTAAGCTGCCGTGCACTTGAACGATTTTTTTTTAAAGTTTTTTTTTTTTTTTTAGAAATCAAACACAATGCTTGAGGATCTCTAAAATAATTCAGAGCTGTGGTGCTGCGCTTCTGCAGGAGAGACAATTTCTTCTGATGACAGAAGCCAGAGGGAAAAAAAAAAAAATATGGTGTTTTGGAAGAAATACAAAGCATAAATCTTGCTCTCAGCGGGACTCGTGCAAGTCTAGAGTAATTCCCTGTCAGGACACTGAGTTGCTGTAGGTTTGTACCTGTGCCATTGAGAGCCGAACAGGGACCGTGAAATTTTCACTGCAGCAACAGGGCAAAACTTTCTGTGCACTCTGTACACTTTTCCCAAAGGTTTGTGTCCTCGTTTTAAGCTGTGTTTTCTGGATCTGTGGTCAACTGGCCCTGAGGGGTGTCTGAGTGCTTTACAATCCCTGTGACAGCCCCTCGGTGAGTGCCGCTTACCAGGAGTAGTGCTCTGTGCCTCATACAGCACGTAACAAACAGGAGTAAAAGAGCAAGCACTCCCCTTTCCTTTTGCTTTCTCCAAATCCAGGATCTGATGGACACGTGCTCCCTGGACCTCGACATGCAGGTAGGCCCATCACCATGCTCTTGTCTTTGCTTCTATTGTCCTAAAATCTGACTGTCCGTTCATTTTAGTGAGTTTGGAGGGCTCTGATCCTGCAGACCCCACAGGTGATTAGTGAACTGCTTCTGGCCACAGCAGAGTGGTCAGCCTCAGTAGGTTTTGACCTTTGCTCATTTACTGGTCTCTGAAAAGCTTGTAAGTGGAGGGGAATAGTGAGGTGTCAACCCAAGGGACAGCTTTGCTTCTCTAGGCTTGTGTCCATCCTGGGAGAAAGGTGGGAGCTGTGACGTGCCCACTGTCATCGTGCCACCCAGTGAGGGGAAGCCTGGGGGGCACCAGTGCCCCATTTCAGGTTGGAAATTAGGAGAATTCTCCTCAGAAAGAGCAGTCAGGCATTGGGACAGGTTGCCCAGGGAGGTGGTGGAGTCACCGTCCCTGGGGGTGTTCAAGGAAAGGTTGGACGTGGTGCTTGGGGACATGGGTTAGTGGTGACATTGGTGGTAGGGGGATGGTTGGACCTGATGATCTTGGAGGTCTTTTCCAATCTAATGATCCTATGATTTCCACTTATGGGGTTTGATGAGAGTCATGTGAAGACCTCATCTTGGCATGGAGCATGCACATAGCCCCCAGTACCTTACGGCAGCCTGGAAACAGTTCAGGCTCTGGGGGAAATGTAGGCAAATCACTGGCCCAACCCCTTCCTGACATTGCAGTGACCTTCCTTGTCCCTGAGCTCTCGCAGGAGGGAGGAGAGTAAAATCATGTGAAGGCAGAGGTGAATTCAGGAAACCTGTGAAATAAAGGAGCAAAGTCCTTTCTCACTGTCTGTCACACTTCCATGCACCAATTTATAGAGCAAAACCTGAAGCCCAAGGGAAGTGGATTCCTGCTGCTCTGTTACAGCCACACAGTAAATGTAACAGCCAGTCACCCAGTGAGGAATAGGACATGTGTGAACCACAACTCCATCATCTTCTTCAAATGCCTGGGCTGTGTCATTCATATCCATGCTGCAGATTAGCACAGAAGACCAGGAACAGTAAGAGCAGAGGCTGGATGTTTTATTCAAGTGACAGTCCCAGGAAAACACTTACCAGCCTGCACCTGAGCCACATTTCTTAGTCCTTGGAGGTCATTGCCACCTCTGGTGCTCCTGACAGTATGACATAGTGTAGAAGTAACATGAGGTATAACTTGAGGTGTAAATATTTTTTTTTTTTCCAGGCTCATATATGTTCAATGAGACTTTCAAGCTTCTTGGGCCAAGAGAAATACCTAGCAGATCTGGGGAAAAAAAAAAAAAAAAAAAAAAAAAAAAAAAAACCACTATTTATGGGCTCAGCAATAAATATTTACCAGCTAACCGTACACTGGAATGGGATTTATTTACCCACTACCATAAACAGTTCCATGAACAGTTTAGCTAGATTTTAGCACTGTACATTTTAAGACTACAATAGCAGTGATATGCTTCCCCAGGGAAATATGTGGATGAGGTTCCTGGCTACTGGCTCTTTCAAACTAAAGCTAAGATTTGGGATAGTCAGCTTCAAAATGTTGTCAGGCTGCATCAGTGTAAGAAAACAGGCTCTTTAGGCTCTCAGCCTGATATCTGACTGCCTCAGACACCTACTCTCTGTGATCAGTGATTCATTACAGTGATCTTCTGGCTATTCTCCAGGTAGCAAGAACAAGACAAGGTACAGTCCAGCATGACTGCCCCAGAAAGCACCACCTTCACTTCCAAAAAGTGTTCCCACCACCAGCATAATTTTGCAGAACAAACACCTACAAAATACTTGTGCAGGATTAGCACGCACATTGTTCAGCTTGAAAGGTGAAATCAGCTCCTCTCAAATGATAAATCTCAGCACATTCTTGAAAGGTTGGAAAGAAACTATTTTTGAAATGCCAGATCAGTCCTTATAAAGACTTTACTTATGCGGCTGCTAAAATCCTTGTGCTTTATTCTCCCTTGTCTTGCGCCTTTTCAGAGCTCCTTACACCTTTCGGCGTTACTGTCAAGCTTTAGCGATCTGGTTGCATTTTAAAATGAGAGGGTCACGAAAAATCATAATGAATTAAGATTTTGTTTTTGTAGCTGAAAAGAGTGAAACAAGCTTACTTGATAAATGTTTTTTATCAGATTTATTGCACGGCAGCAAACAACAGCTGAATGAATGATTTGCAGCAAAAAAAATCTTTCACTAATTTAATTCATTTTTTTTTATCCATGAAAATAGAGCTTCTCTGATCTAATAATTTCAGTAGATAATTAATGCCCTGCAACTCATTTAGGAGCAGTTTACTTCAATTATTAGGGCTTCAAAATCCAAATTCTGCTGATTTATTGGGACTGGACAAACAGGACAGGCCATGCTCTACCTCTGCTGGAAACAGTGAGAACTGGAAACTGAATTTCTACAGGCCAGATAAAAAACAGGGGGGTGGCTCCTTTCAACATTGTTTTTTTTGTGGGGCTCAGAGAACAACCTGTGCAGATGTGTTAAGTTTTGGTGGTGGGTCAGACTGGTTCCTTCAGGGAGGAGGAGGATGCTCAGCTGGACAGCAGGTCCACAGCAGGTTTGGGGTGATGGTGATGGTGATCTCCATCTACTTAATATAACCCCTTCTTACTTAATATAACCACACACTTCTGCTTCATCCTGTATGTTTTTCAAAAAACACCCACGAGACTGGAACTGTGGTGGATCCAGCAAGAGACCTCAACACCTAACACACAACTTATTTTCAGGTAGAATCCTAGAATAATTTAGGTTGGAAAAGACCTTTAAGATCAAGTCCAGCCAACCACCTAACACTACAAGTCCATTGCTAATCCATGCTTCTAAGCAACACATCTGCCTTTCCTAAATACCTCCAGGGATGGCTACTCCACCGCCTCCCTGGGCAGCCTGTTCCAATGCCTAGCCACCCTTTCCATGGAGAAATTCTTACTGATATCCAACCTAAATAGATAGATGCAAACCACGGGAAGTTGCTCAAGACAAGTGCATGTCATGAAAATACCGTAGAGAAGTCGATCAGAGATCAAAAGAACAGAGAATGGAAATATCTTAGTCTTTTTTCCTTGGGGTATTCTGGGGATAAATCTTGCAGCTGCACAGACACTGCTTTGATGGCAGACAACATAAGGTTCTGTGTGGGGGAAGCACCATATAATTGCTTCACACCAATTACCAGAAATGAGAGGCAGATAATCCAGAAGAAAAAGGATCAATGAACAATATCTTCTTGGGCTTCAGAAAGAGCAGATCATCCGGAGCAGCTACTCTGATCCCCGTAATACAGCTGGCTTTAATAAGAGGAGCTTGAAAGACTGCTTTCAAAATTCTTCAGGGTTCCCAAATCTAAGGCGGCTTCTAGCAGTTAGCAAACAAACTCTCAGACACCACTGGACCATCCAGCGTGTTCTCTTTGGTAAATGAATCCAGCTAATGTGATGTGCTGTTTTATTGTCTAAATAAAATGGGACCAGTATAGCAAATCCATTTTCAAATCATATCTTCTTTTATCCTTACAGATTGTTCTGCGATAGAGCTGGCCATTTTAGCAAGAAAAACACGGTGTTGCCTTCCTTTTCACCACTCCTGTAGCACCAAAACCCAACCCCGTACATGTACCCACCACATCTGAAGGACAACAGTGCGCGACTTGCTTTCATGGATGCTGGCACCGTGGTGCATGGGGAAGAGGTGTTGATGTGGGCACTCATTAACAGGAAATTTTCTTGACCACTTGTGGTCATATGTGTGTATATAACCATAGCCTAATGAAGGGAGCCTGAGCCTCAGCATGAAACCTGTCCATCACCAGCAATGGATGAGTCTTTCCAACCCCTTGATGTGGGAAAAGAAGGGCTCCATCAAATACAAAGCAGGTGAAAACAAATCTCTACAGTTTTAGTACACCTAAAATGTATCTTTCAGGTTGATATGCCAAAAGCAAGAGATTATGAAACCTCTGAACTGAGATGGGTATCTCAGAACAACTTCACCTTATGCATCTGGCTTTGTGTGTCCCTGTCTCCGGCATTTGTCCATGACTATTACTTCAGATCAAACAAGTCCTTTCCTAGTTTCTTTTCCCTTCTCTTAGGTACACTGGTTCTTTTTCAAGTACAAAATTTATACATACCCAGCCAATTTGTTCTAGCAGATCTTTTAATTAATTCCTTATTAAAAGATGGGTAATGGCTTGCTGTAAATTTTAATTGGTCTTGCTTTCCATTTGACTTTAATGAGTCTATTTTCCCATACAATTAAACCTGCTTTAAGTGACCACTCAGGGGACAAGCTAAATCTCTGACTTAATGTAAATGGCTTTAAATAAATAAGATGCAGCCTCCACTGAAAGAACCTAACAGCTGCATTCAAATTAAGCATATTGG